TTACTCGAAGCATACCTTGAAAGAACTGTGGACAAGAGTCTCATCAAGGTCGAGAACAAGACACTTTCGACCCTTGTGCTCCGGTGCAATGGGAGGCAATAACCACTTCTGAGGCTCGGGTGCTGATGGGCCAGCGTCTGTGAATTGGCTGGGTGCCACAACAGCTGGACCAGGACCTGGGGGTGGGGGAGGGGGGGGTATCGTCCTTTGAGTTGGGGCTTCGACTGCAGGGGCCAATGGTGCCTCGTCTGGCTCTTCAGTAGCAGCATCTTGCATGTTCACATCACCGTCATTAGCCGCCTTGTCTGCCACCTTTGGCTCCTCTTCTGTGGGTGTCGGCTTGGGGGGCTCCACTGTAACTGCAGGAGGAATCGATTGCTTCGATTCCCTGTTGGCTTGCTCTGTCGCTGTGGTTTCGTTGTTGGCTGAGCCCGACGAGGTAGCCTCGTCCTTTGGCTCTGGTGCAGATACGGTTGTTTGAGGTTCTCTCTGGGAGGCTGGCCTGGGCTGTTCCTGGGGAGTGTTGGTTCGCGACCTGGCGGAAGTTGGGCGCGGAGGTAGGACGTCAAGCTTGTGCACGTTTTCGTTGTTATCTTCGTTTCCAGCTGGGCCCTCGGGGGTACCACAACATCCAAGAAAAGCCAACAGGCCACCACGGCTCTTCTTCTTCTGGGCGGGGGCAACAGGAGAGTTTGGCTGAGTGTTTGCAGCAGTGTTTGTGGGTTCAGTCTCGCCGCCTGTCCTGTTGCTTGAAGTGCTTCCGTTCCGTCGTCGCGCACGGAGGCTACCTTTAGAGTCTTTCGATCGACTGCCGATGCTGTTCCGGGGATCGCTGACTGTAGCCCCACTCAACCCCGTAGATGTTGGTGACGATTGGTTCCGCTGTGATGATGATCTTGATGGGACCTTAAGGAGACCACGACCTTTCTTGGAGCTCGCTCCCCCTTCTGATGATAATTGACCCTTGTTAGACATTTCAGCATCGGCAGAGTTCGCCTGGGGCTGAATTTCGTCGTTCGGGTTTGATTGTAGCTTGTCTGACATGTTTGCTATTATTCTGTGGAAATTGTCAGCTGGTGTTTCTTTGTAACTTGGTGTAAAGGATCGTGAAGTAGGTCATTGTGAATAGAGACTGCTAATGGATCAGGAGTGCAGGGAAACGGGTTCCTGTGCCTGATGCAGCAAACAGTTTGTTCTATCACAACTGCTCCCTCCGCGCAACGAATTTGAGAACAAATTCCTGCTGAAGTCGTGCTGTCCCATCGATCGCGCCACTTCTTGTGCAGGCGCGCGAGGAATGATGGGTAACTCACGTCGTTGACCACGGCCAAACAAAACCAGCTTATTCTATAACCCCTAACTCTTTCAAATATGGCCTATCGAGGCCTAAATCGCGACAAGAAACGAAGCAGTTCGAAACGGCGAGTGTGAAACAGTCGACGGGGTATACAGGCGTAGAGGAAAAGGGCGACGGTGGGAAATTACGGCGCGTTTGGACCGAGGCAGGGGAGGCTGGAAGTCAAACGGCACCGATAAATCGATTATGAAGCGAAGCTGTAAAATCGACCAAAAGGGTCGCGGAAGTGAACGAAGGAATGAATGAATTGTCCCAATCGTCGAGACGGCCGCAGAAGTCAGGAAACCTGATCGGGGGATTGCGTCGGTCGGGGATGGAGCTCGCTCGGTGTGAATGAGGAAAGACGGAGGACGGGCGGAGGAGAGAGCCCAGTGGTATCCGTACAGTAGGCAAGGCGAAAGCGGGCGGATCGGAGGCTGAAAAAAGACTTGGGCTGCTGGGCGCGCAAGCGAAATGATTGCCTTTAAGATGGAGCTGAATGAAGAGGAAATTGAGGTGGGAAATGGGGGAAAACAGAACAGAACCAGCCAGGTACAGCAGTTGCAATGCGCGCAGGGGGCTAGGTTGTCTTTACTTTCTCAGTCTCTCTTTTTCCTCCCTGGTCTGGTCTGGTCAGGATAGTTTATTACAGATGATGAGAAATGGAGAGTGGAAAAGGTCAAGGTTGGTGAAAGGCTGGCGGAGACGGCGGCGACTGCCAGCGACAGTGGGAAGATGTGCTGGAAGCCGGGGGTGCTATGCGCTGGAAACAGTGAGCAGCAGGGTCGCTGGGGGTTGCGGAAGACTGTGAGCCTGTGAGATGTCTCTGAGAGTGGCCGAACGGGATGGGGCTCGAATTGGACTTAACCGGGGTGGATTAGAGCAAGAAAACCGAGGGCTTCGATCAACAGCGACAGAAATATGCGAGTAAGCTACCACATGATCTCTGAGCGTCTAAGTCGGTTTATTTCGATATCCTCTCTCAGAGCCTGAGGTTTTCTTGCTCCCAGTGGCTGGGGTGGGTTGGAGAGGGAGGTGTGAGTGGGGTTTCACTCGAGATTAGCACTCCGGGAGCATCCAGTCTGGTAGGGGAGTATCGTATACTGTCGATCTCTGCTGTATTGGCACTGTATTCAGAGCACTATCAGCAGCAAGCAACACAGTCTCGAAACCCATATCTACAACACCTCACAATAGCGTGACAGAGCACCCCTTGTCTCTCATCTCCGCTAATAATGGTGCCCGCCAAGCTCATCTTAACCACCCTGTCCTATGGCTGGCTAAGGCCCGCACATGGCTTGGTGCGGCGCCTAAGGACCCTTGTCCTTGGTGGCTTTATACATGTTCCTACATTACTTTATGTCGACTCTGTCAAGTCGATGTGAGAGCTCAGAACATGAGACGTGAAGACCATACGGCACGAGTCAATCTGCAGAGGAGAGCCACAGCCGTCAGAAGCCATCTTCTGATCTGAATGCCCCTCGTAGACTAGCCGGATAATGCTCCGGTGAGAAGTTAGCAGACAACCAAGAGCATTTAGGTAGTTCCTCCAGTCCACCAACAAGGAATAGTGCCCTTTTCTCGAATAAACCCATGTCCTCGATCTTCCAACAGTGGGTTTTTCTTTGGCACTCTCACCAGAACAAAAAAAGGAGCTTAATTTCAAGTGCAGCATAAACAAACAGCTGAAAGGCCTCATTCGGATTGATGTTTTTCGTTAACCAGGCAAGCCAGGCCCAAGCTTTCATCCCCAGCTTTTCAAGCTTCTTCCTTGTCTGTCCTGTTCCATCCAAGTCCTGATGGTAGTCTTGAGGCTGCCACCATGTAACTCACACCCGTGTGCTACATGACCACTGACGTACGGGATGAGATGCCTGATGCAAGCTCTTTGAACGTTTCCTCGTGGTATGCAACCACAAGCGAGGGTTATCGATGAGTCGATTATGGGTATTAGATCCGGTGAGTTTATTCTGCCCGTAAATGATGTTACTGGGTTAGAAGCAAGTGATACTATTCAGTCCATACTCTGCCAACCTACCTGACCAGGCTCATTAGCTAGTACTTCGTACCTAGGTAGGTCGGTGTCATTGACTCGCTAGTTGATTATGCACGCTCAGCAAGCTGCGGGTAATGCAAACTCTTATCGATCTTTCTTTCACCGAGTTCCACGAATTACCGTCAAAAATAACTTCTCATCTTTCATGCTCGCATTCTGCAGCTCAAGCTCCAAACCACAATTCTATGCTCCTTCACGACTGAGACACGAAAAAGAGACATGATCCCTGTCGGACCGGGAGCAATGTCCCTACCCGTGTGGTATGATTGGTCGCGTTGGCGCCCGGATCAGTGATGCCTCCATGCATCGTGGGCCCTTTGGCCTCGACCACTTGAGAGACCTACATACCCGCTGTGGCCGGTTACAGAGACCTCCTCTAGCTTGTGCTGGATGGACCCTTGCGTTCTCGTTAAATTCTGTCAATCGTCTTTCCATGAATCTTGTTTGCTGTGGCTTTGGCGAGCACGTTTTCTTGAATCGTACTCCGTACGCCATCCACTTATCATCAAGTGAGGCTTGTTAGTCGTTCTCTGAGTCGTCCCGATACCATATCACATTAATCATGTAAACTCCATCGACCCCAGAACTAGGCGAAGGAAAGTCCAGGGCACAGTTCACATGGCAACCCATTGAGCCTGAGGGATGTGACTGGAGTCAAGGATGCCGTGTAACTGTGAGATTTCTACTCCGTAGTGTCTTTCACTAAATACCCACACTCTTCGTGGGTCGTGGAATGGGTTGAATACTCAACACTCCTTACGCATGATCCATTCAGCAAGCAGAATCATGGTCTCAGCCCACAATCAATGCGAGCAGTGTCTGTTACCAGCTAAACAGTATCAAGGCTATGGGCTTCTGTCTTTCCCGAGTGAAGTTTCAGCTTTTCCCCTTCTATGACATCCACGCCCGTACAACATGCATACGATAGGAAACCCGTAAATTTAGGGCTATCTAGCATCTGAATTATAAAGTACGGTTGGACAAAAGTTTAACAAGTCCCGGTGTCATCAATCGATACCAATAAGCAACACAAAATATCACAGTACGGATCAGTCAATAGGCACTCAATATCCTGCACCCAGTCCATCGTAGAGCACATGTGAATCGTCAATTGATTTACCTGTGTGCTATAGGGTAGGTATAGACACCTCTTGTAGTAGATCGAACCAATCAGGAGCTTACTTCATTAACTGATGCTCCCCCATATTTCCCCAGCTTTTTGACCATCATGTGATTGGATACTGTGTCGTCATTCCCGCTCGCCGCATCCGTCGGCTGCAGCTTAGGTGAGGTCGCAGCAGGCGCAGACCGTCCCATGTGCCACTTGCCTCGGATACCTGTATTTCACATGCTCATGACAACTTTTGCTACAAGTCAGCCTCAACCATATTTGGACTTAGCAAAGATATTCATACAACCACGTTTCTTTAATATTTGCCAGCGAAACCTTCACATTCCACGCGATACACTAATGGACACGTAAAGAAAGCGCATTTGAGCCTCGTAGAGACTCGAGGGTTGTGGGGAAGCTTCTCCAAACGACAATAGACGATATTCAACGTCATCACCAAACATTGCATCTCACATCACTATCGGATACTGTCTCTTATGGCCGCGCAATCAACGCTGCGGCATACTGCTGCCGAGGAGCAGCTAGCCGCCTTCCTCGACAAATGGACTGGCAAGATAAAGACAAGGTTGCGCGGAACGACTCGCACGACTCGTCTACTCGCGACATTGGCCCTTGCTATTTCAATTATCCTCGGAGGAGTTGGCGGGCGTCGATGGTGGAAGAATCGACGGCATGAGCGTGAACAGGGACGGAAACTTGTGCGCACAAACTCTTGGCTTCACAATAAGGACGGTTCGCGTACTATTTACGTTCCATACAAGGATGGCACATCAAAGGTGGTGATCAACACAACCAAGCCGCTCACTTTCGACGCCCATCGCCGTTTGTTCTTGAACCCTCCTCGGGTATCTGGACTCCGGGAGGGAACTGTGCCAGCAGCGCAAACAAAACCAGGCCTCAACATTGCCTTCCTGCACCAATTCCTCAGTTTGATGAGCATCATGATCCCCAGATGGTCTAGCAAGGAAGCTGGACTACTTGTCAGTCATGGCGTATTCTTGATGCTAAGGACATATCTCTCACTTGTTGTCGCTCGTCTGGACGGTGAGATTGTACGTGATTTGGTGGCTGGAAACGGAAAGGCGTTCCTCTGGGGTATTCTCAAGGTAAGCATTCGACCTAGGATTGTAGCCATTATACTCACATGTCCCAGTGGTGCGGCCTTGGAGGGTTTGCTTCATATACCAATGCCATGATTAAGTTCCTGGAGTCGAAGGTTTCCATTGCCTTCCGTACGCGACTTACACGCTACATCCATGACCTCTACCTTAACGATAACCTCAACTACTACAAGCTGTCTAACCTCGACGGTGGTGTTGGCCAAAGTGCTGATCAGTTCATCACTCAAGATCTAACTCTGTTCTGTGCAGCTGCAGCCAACATCTACTCATCGCTCGGCAAACCTTTCGTCGACCTGTGCGTCTTCAATTACCAGCTTTATCGATCTCTAGGACCTCTTGCTCTCACTGGCCTCATGAGCAACTACTTCTTGACTGCCAGCATCCTCCGAAGACTTTCACCTCCATTTGGCAAGCTAAAGGCAGTCGAAGGCCGAAAAGAGGGTGACTTCCGAAGTTTACATGCCCGCTTGATTGCCAATGCCGAAGAGGTTGCATTTTATGGTGGTGCAGATACCGAGAAGACATTCTTGAACCGCGAGTTTAAGTCATTAAAGACTTGGATGGAGGGTATTTACATGCTGAAGATTCGCTACAACATTTTGGAAGACTTCATCCTCAAATATAGTTGGAGTGCTTACGGATATTTGCTGGCCTCGCTTCCCGTCTTCCTGCCACAATGGGGTGGCGTTGGTGGCCGAGCTGAGATGGTTGAGAATGGTGTACGAGGAGGTCGAGAGCGCAACCGCATGAAGGATTTTATCACCAACAAGAGGCTTATGCTCTCACTTGCCGATGCAGGTGGCCGTATGATGTACTCTATTAAGGACCTTTCGGAACTGGCAGGCTATACTAGCCGTGTGTACACACTCATCTCGACATTGCACCGGGTACATGCCGATGCTTACCACGTTCGGGCCGGCCAAAGCGAACTATACTCATTGTCAGATGTTTCAGGAACAATCCAGAAAGGATTTGACGGTGTTAGATTCGAGCATGTTCCAGTTGTGGCTCCTGGTCTGTGGCCTCAGGGAGGCGAGGAGTTACTCGAGTCATTGTCCATCATCGTGCGAAGAGGTGAACATCTATTGGTAAGCTAACCCATGACATAAGCCTGTACGATTGCTAACAACAACCAGATTTCTGGACCAAATGGCGTGGGTAAAACCGCTATTGCAAGAATCCTGGCCGGCTTATGGCCAGTCTACCGAGGCCTAGTCAGTCGCCCCAAGGATATCGGCCAGGACGGCATTATGTTCCTCCCCCAGCGACCTTACCTGAGCCCCGGAACACTCCGTGATCAAGTCATCTATCCGGATGGTCATGTGGATATGAAGGAGAAGCGCAAGTCCGAGGATGACCTCAAAAGCGTCCTGGACGCTGCGCGACTCGGATACCTCCCTGACAGAGAGGGTGGATGGGATACGCGAAAGGAATGGAAGGACGTTCTCAGTGGAGGCGAGAAGCAGCGCATGGGTTTTGCCCGTGTACTCTACCACGAGCCCCAATATGCGATTGTGGATGAGGGCACCAGCGCTGTTTCGAGCGATGTAGAAGGCCTGCTATATGAAACATGCAAGGAGAGAGGCATCAGTAAGTCATAGGTTGTTTCAAGTTCTGACGGGGACATCAGGCTAACATGCCACAGCACTCATCACCATCTCAACACGCGCATCCCTCAAGAAGTATCACACATACAACCTGGTCCTTGGTATGGGCGACCAGGGAGATGAGTGGGAATTCGAGCGAATAGGCACCGAGCGTGAGAAGATGCAGGTCGAGAAGGAGTTGCAAGACCTCCGTGAGCGACTGGAGCAGGTCGACGAGTGGAAGAAGCGCCGAGATGAGATCGAGACTGAGCTCGCAGCAGTCTGGACAGACCAGGGCGAGGTGCTAGAGGCTCCGGCATATGCAGAGAAGGCAGCTGAGGGCCAGGAGTAAGCGAAGGGTGGATCGAAGGGCTGATTGATTGATTGACGTAAGCAGAGAGCAATACCCCGAGGAGTTTAGATGATGGGATATTTTGTATGGCACGGAGTAGGCGGCGGGATTTGTGTATCTATTATTTCCAGGATCTACATAGACGATGATCTATCATGACAGAAGAGCAGAAGTTGGCTGATGTGACGTTGGAGAGATGGGGCAAGGGATAGAGTCAAGGGCTACTAAACGTCAAAGATAGACCACATTTGGATATATAGGACCATTTTTATCGTCGACCCTCAACGTGCAGGAGTGAGATGGAATTCTAGATCAAATAAAGATGATTGCAGATCCCTCCAGACTCGGCTACGAAACCAATATTTCCCAAGCCAAGCTTTACAGCTCCAACGCCACTTTTCCAGGGCAGACTCCAATCACGAGGTCGTAGCGACAGCACGAACTATCAACGGCGCTAGCAGCAGCAGCAGCAGCAGAAGAGGAAAAACGCCTCCCTCGGATGAGGTCGATCCCGCGTGGGCGGGTCATTGAATTGTTAATTGAATTTCTCAACCGTCGTAGTTCGGAGAGGGGGAGGCGAAAAAATCAGGGCAGTCGGAGGAGCTGGAAATCGATAGTCTAGAGGAGGGATGGAGTCGTCAATTGATAACTGAGCCTCTTTCTTCTTCTTTTCAATCAATTCCTAGATGTGTATCCGTGTATATGAAGTCGTCGAGAATATATCATCGAGAGAGAGCCTGATTGCGTCGATTGAAGTAGGCTGAATGAACTGAGCTGAGCTGAACTTATGGAGGCTTGCATCTATTGCATGCAGATCAGCAAACACACATACACCCTCACATACTCACATACTCACTCACAGCCTGACACTTGAGACTTTTTATTCTCTTTGTTACATCTTCTTTATCCTCCTCATCTTCAATCAGTTGAGACGATAGACGCTGATCATCGTCATCGCTCAACTCAATTATACACTCTACTATCGTCAGCCACCAAACTAGAACTCCAAGGACAACCTCAAAAATGAACAGAAATCACAACTACAGAACAGGCTCCTTCAGCTCAATCTCTCGTCCCTACCTCCCCTCAATCGACGAGAACGAAATCGCCTCTACACCTTCATCTCACAGTCCTCCAACACCTCCCCTTCGCATTCCCAGGAAATCACCCCGGCGCGCTGTTCGCAACAATGCAATTCCACCAGCGTATGTACCAAGAGGACGAGTATACTATGCTCCGCCCGTGGCGCACTATACCCCGCCGCCTAGCTACAGCTACAACTACAACTACAGCGATGCTAAGGGTAAATTCCTAGAGCATGAGTATTCTGAAGCTGGGAGCTATAGAGAGAGGAAGGTTTGTGGGCTTGATAAGCGCAGAGGATGTTGTTTATTGATTATTGCCCTCGTGGGCGTTGCTATCGTTGCTGTTGCTTTGGGTATTGGGCTTTCGATAGGGCTGAAGGACGAGTAAGTTGAACATCCGAGACACTGATGAGTCTCACTAACACCATCTTCAGAGACGCAGCACCACCGCAAAAGACTTCAACTTCAGAACCTCCAGCTGCATTCCCGGCTGGTTCTTTTGCTTTCAAAGCAGATCTTCAAAACACCACCACAGACTGTACCTCCAACCCTTCAACATGGCGCTGCTATCCTTATGAAAAGGGCTCATCAGCAACGTTCTTCTGGATAATCTCGTCCAAAAACGGCTCCTCGTACACCATCTCATCCACAGAAAACCCCTTTGCACCCTCGTTCACGAACTTGACTCTCAAGGTTCTTGACAAGGATACATCCCAAGAGCGTCTGCAGTTTTCTTTCTCCATGAACAAAACGGTCGTCCCAGATGATCAGCTCTCGTCGAGCAATCGTGCAGCAAAGTGTACGTTTGGCGATACGCTTTTCGAAGCCACACTGTGGACGCAGCGGAAAAGGGGTGATGAGGCGGCTGGAAATACAAAGTTTGCTGCTTGGCCAGGCGATGTTGACGTTGTTCAGCGCAAAACATTCAATGGAGGATCACCAAATTGTGTGGATAGCGAGGGTGGCCAAGTGGGTGATGTAAAGTCAGAGTCTGGGGCGTGCGAGTGCCGCTATGCAAACTACGATATCAACTAGATTGTCTCTATCTGTATTTATGCTGGGCGAGTTAATGTCAGGACTTGGTTACGAGGAAATCAAGGTGGAAGGATATAGTAGTTTAGCAGTAAGTGATACCCAGGACCAACAAGTTCTATAATCAATTCTATTGGAAACGAAAAAACAATGACACGCGAGAAACAAATCTATAGAAAAAAATGGCCAAAATGAGGATTGAGGGACAGACCAGAAACACCGTAAACAGTACAATTTTGCACCACCTGACACAATAGGCAGAATATCCATCGCGATAAACAAAACGAAAACAAGAGCACCCATGCAAACCATTTCCCTAGATATGATTTTAGTTCGCGAAACAATACACGGGAAAACCATCTTTCTCGAGTTGCGATTCGAGATGTTGCGAACGAGTCAAAAGGTTGCGAAAAGCCACAGGCATATCCGGCAACACTTTCTCAACATACTCCGCAAGAGCATCATGCTTCCGAAGCAGCACTTTACGCCCTGCCCTCTTAGCTTTTGGAGGTTTCTTGCTGACCTTGCTTGACTTGACAGACTTCAGAGAAATGTCAGGTGTAACCTTTGTAGTAGATATTTGGGTTGCGCGCTTGAGATGTATGTTCCCCAAATTCTTACCTAGTGCAGAAGGAGTTACATTATGTTGTCCCCTTCGTAGGTGAGGAGGAACATAAGGCTGAGCTCCCGGCAGAACTTGAGGCTGCTGAGCTTGGGGTTGAACTTGGGCCGGGGGTCCAGGCCAGTGAGCTTGACGTTGGATTTGAGGCTGGACTTGAGGCCGGGCTTGGGGTTGAACTTGAGGCCTGGGTCCAGGCCAGTGAGCTTGATGTTGGAATTGAGGCTGAACTTGAGGCCGGGCTGGGGGCTGTTGGGCTCGGGGCTGAACTCGATGCTGGCCTTGACGTTGACCATTATACTGGCCCTGACGCTGGGCTTGACGCTGGCCTTGGCGTTGACCATTATACTGGCCCTGACGTTGACCTTGACGTTGACCTTGACGTTGGCCTTGACGTTGGCCTTGACGCTGGCCTTGGGGCTGGGCTTGAGGCCGCTGGGCTTGAAGCTGAACTGGAGGCTGTGCTGGAGGCTCCGTTATATCAGGCTGAACCCTTCGTTGGTCGTAAGGAGGCTTTCGTAAGTGAGGAGGAGTAACACGAGGAGCTTGAGGCTGAACTGGAGGCTGGGCAGGAGGCTCATATACATCAGGTTGGGCTCTTCGTTGGTCATATGGAGGCTTTCGTAAGTGAGGAGGAGTAACACGAGGAGCTTGAGGCTGAACCTGAGGAGGGACTTGAGGCTGAACTGGAGGCTGGGCAGGAGGCTCCTTCATATCACGTTGGGTCCTTCGTAAGTGAGGAGGAGTATTACGAGGAGCTTGGGGTTGATTCGGCGCGCCTTGGTTTCCAACTGCTTGCACCATGTGAGACGCGATTGCTAAGCCTCCTTTCGCAGCAGAGGCTACCACGACCTGCTTGACAGGATTCGCAGGAGGTGGTGCTTGTGCAGGGATGGGCTTTGGCGCTTGAGGCTCGAAGAGGGTTTTCCACCATTGATGAACAGACTCTGGGCCTTCATTATTGAAGCCCTGCTCCTTTCGGCCCAAAATATTCCTCAGAAGCTGGGTAATAAGGGGCCTATCTTTAGGCTTCTCGTGCAGACACCTCGTCACGATCTGCCGCAATTCCATGTCGATGTGCTGGAACTGTGGGGTCTGGAGTCTCCCTCCATGTGTCGGCTTGTTTGTTTCATCATGGTCAACAGCTTTGTAAGGAAACCTGCTGAATTCTCTCGTAATGATGGACTCCATCTTTCCATAGCATTAGCGTTTTTCTCGAGTCAGTTCTGGCCAGGAAAACTTACAACTTTGGCAATAAGAAATATGTTGGTCCACATCCCAAAACGGCCGGCTACCTCCATCCCCCCATCCCTTTCCAAGTCTTCACCTCCAAAGAATTGTCTCAAGGTAGGCTCTGGCAAGCTGACACGAATACTATCCCAATCTCTACTGAATTGCTCCTAGAGTCTATTAGTGATGAATTCTACAATAATATTAGACCTGTCATCACATACTGGTGTCGCGGCATGAGGCTTAACAGGGTCTCTCATGGACCAAAACTCGTCTTCGTTGTGACTCTCCCAACACTCGTTCATTTTGTAGCTCCAGGCACCGAGGTCATGGAGCTAAAGAAATCAAGTCAGCTCAGGTACAAAGGGTAAATGTCGTCGTTGTGTAGGCTCACCTTGAAAACAGGCTGGTTAGGATGCGTAGCTGGATCATGACCCGCAAGAACTAGACACACGAGGTTAGCAGAAGGCCTCTAGAGATGGTTGATAAACTCTTACCATTGAGAACTTCTAGATCGAGATGAACATCGTGCTCGATTTTCCACTCCCTTTCGACATGGTCGAGGAAGGCCAGTGCCTCGTCCCTATCAGATACTACGTCTTTCCACCACGTTTCAAAACTAGAGTTGCCAGAGCTGTCGGACGGGGTATAAGCAATGGTTGCGAGAGCAAGTACAACTATTCAATAGAGTCAGTCGAAAAGGTAAGATACAATGCTTCGGGGCAAGATGGCTTACGGCATTCCCAAATTCCCCAGAGAACTTGGGCTGGGATCTGAACGTTTCTCGTAGCGACAGTTTGCATGATGTTGACCATGTCCCCGAACTTCATATACTCAAAGACAACACACTTCTGTTCTTCGGCCTTCCAATCTTTTCCAAGTCTGAGAGTACAGGTACCAATAGTGCCATCTTCTATCATACGGTTGCGTATATCCACCACCTCGCGATGTAAGTCGATAACCTGTGTCGTGTGTTGAGCACCGTCATACCGCAAGTGAAACTCGGCTTCTTTGTAAGGATCGAAAGCATTAGTCGAAGAGTCTATAGGTCTCTTGATCACGACCCTCCTGACAGACTTGTCCTCAAAAACGACATCCCATAGTGTGACGTATCCATGACCACCCTGGGCAAGTACCTTGATTAACTTGAAATTCATGCCATTCCAACGTTTATTTTCTATCATCTTTCGGGCATCTTGTGAAAGGGGGCCAAGTGGATCGTAGGGCGCGTCGCGCTTTGGAAAATCTGTGAAATGGTGGACAGTCTCTTTGCCTATGGGACGTTGATCCCAGGGGGAGACATATTGCCACAGGTGCTGTGGAAAGGATTTCCAGTTAAAAAGGAAGACCTCCTCCTCGCCGCGAATCAGAGCTGATTGAACAGCAATAATGTTTCGCTTGCCTATCAAGCACTCTCCGACCTCTTGATCGTCTTGCTCAAAGCCCAGGTCGACTGATGCGATTCGAATGTGTTGGGGATTCATGCTGGATAGACTGTGCCGAATTGAATTTGATGTTATCGGAAGTGAGTATCACGCGGGGAAAGGCTGGAGGATTCGATGGTAATAAACTTGTTCGACTGAACAAAGACCCAAGGAGCTGCTGTTGGGGTCCCTCAAGACACGAGTGTTTTGTGTTGGACATTGACCATTGATAGCCCCAACATCTGAAAGAAGCATCGAGGGCGACATTGTGAGAGAATCGAATCCGAAATTGGGTGTCTTTGGACAAAGAGGTGCGGTGGTTCCGTGATGGGTGGTGGTTTTGCGGTTTCTTTGTCCATCAGCCTGGTGACGTCCTGCATGTCAAGATGGGCCTATTTTGGTCGCCGGGAGCCATGATCACGGATGCGACTATGCGCGAGCTTGAAAGGTCTCTTTGAAGCTGGAGAGGTGCTTGTCATGATTAAAGGGTCGAGTCTATTGTTGGTGTAAGGTAGTCAGGACCATTTTGGGAGGGAGTAGTCTTTGTCGTATAACAATTGAAGTTATTCAGCATCAGCCTCTGACAATATTTTGGGCAAATTGGATCCATTGAGGTTGATCTTGGCCATCTCATGCTCATGCTCGGCCTTGGGCATCCATTCTTTTTCCCCCATCATGGGACTTGCTCACTAGGTTGTCATGGATGATGGGTGTACTGTAGGTAGGGGGTGTTTACAGAGCAACATTTAGAGTGGAGATTCTATGTGAGTGCCTGGAGATTACCCGCTACTGTGGGACGACGGGCAGCTCATCCGTGGGGCACTTGCCTTTAGGCTAAATTGATGGTTTCTTCCGGAAGGACAAGACCCTCAGAGGCTCTTCAAACTTCGTTTTAGTTATCATGATATGGGCATTCACCCGCGATAAATCCACATGACATGGACAATATCGTAGACTAGGGAACCTTGGAATTACGCCGAGCCGAGAGATATGGACCACGTCAGAGATTTTGGCAGAATAGAGTAGCAGAAGGGGGAGGTCATGCGGCGAATCGCCCGGAGTTAGGGGACCCTACGCCTATGTATGTTGGTATGTTTAACCTTGAAGATGGAAAGGAGTTGCTTCAGGCTGGGTTTGCGCATCAATCACAGAAAAGAAAGATGCCTCAAGACACACCCGGACGAGTCAAAGTCGACTTGGCTTAGACGCGGCACTTGAAAATACTTTACAGAATAAACGCACAAATAGGCTGCTCACAAAGGCCAAATCTGAGACCAGGGGCACATGTGTCATGAAACAGACAGAATCTGCGGCGTATGAAGACAACTGCTTTTGTGGTGTAGATCCTGCTTATTATTGCTCTTCATCTTCATCTGTCTCTCTCAACTGGGGTCTTGGTGTGGCTACCTTAGCCTAGTCGCTAGATTTGCGGGGTGAAGCATCCATGCAAGCCCTGGAACAGACTGGACTGGATTGGTTCTCGAATGACTGACACATGTACTTCGGGGAGCTTCGGCCATTACTTTAGTGTCTTTTTTTGTTTTCTTCTTTCTTTTGGCTGAAAGTTTTCATGATCAGATTTGTTTCTGAAGTATCCACTCGTCATATGTAATATCTGTATGCACTCAGGCACTGTAATAATCGGCGATGTAAGTAATATCACGAGCCATGACTTATAACAGAACATTCAGCTTCACAGCGATAAGCGATGAGATTTAGTTTATCCAGAATATTATTCCTTACCTTGTAATTATGAACCCTACATACTTACATACATACCTACACATGGCATCCATCCTCCCCCAATGACTACCCATCCAATAGTTATGCCCGCCATCTCATCCGCCGGGTGAATTCCAATCCTGTGCCCCACCAACAGCGGCATAGTCTGGAAGGCAGAGAAGACACCGGGGCTGAGCTGGGCTGGTTAATACGGCGATTCGCTCTCTCTTGGCTCGCATGATGGTCTCTAACCAGACATTTGCCGCCCTCACACACCTCTCTATCTACTGTGCTGTACCTTTGGGGGTTACACACCCCGGAAGCAATCCCATGATACCTACTGCACCAGAAGCATTGCTGCAGGCCTGAGGGAGTGACATTCTATGACCCGCGGAAGCAATACGCGCACTCATGCCATCGCTATTCATGGCCTTTCTCTTGCTGAAGGCGTAGCGCTATCAAATACCATGCCATGCAATGCCATACTACGTAGTATGGACCTTGCCCCTTGCTTGTCATGCCGCACCCATGAGGGCATACGATATCTGCCTAGGGACTGTAGCTACCTCTGAGGATAATATGTACGCATAGCAACATGTGTTCTTCTTAGCATAAGTATAAATACTACTGTCCCCTCCTCCGAGCTGTCTATCCCATTCTTGCTTCTCCTCTCCTCCTCTCTCTACTCTATCACTCAACCAACCACCACGTCTCTTACACATCAACAACCGTCACAATGGTCAACGTCCCCAGCATCAAGCTCAACAGCGGCTTCGACATGCCCCAGATTGGCTTCGGCCTCTGGAAGGTTGACGACAACTGCGCTGATGTTGTCTACGAGGCCATCAAGGCTGGATACCGTCTTCTCGACGGTGCTTGCGGTACGTTTGTCTCCAAAACCCCCAATTGCCTTTACAATTACCCGTCGCCAACTTCAATTACACGGCCATGATCCCATTACTTTGCCCCTACCCAGATAATCCTTGTCTCTCTGCCCCTCATTTTCCCTGCCAATTGTCAATTTCACCGAGAAAACAGCCACATTACCCCTGTAAAACTACCCCTCCACTACACTTGGAGCTTCACCCCACACCATGATAGCTTCATGACTTCTCTTTTTACCCGGACAAACCATAATTTCACAGAAATTCTAATTGATTTTCCACTACAGATTACGGAAATGAGAAGGCCTGCGGTGAGGGTGTCGCTCGCGCTATCAAGGATGGTATCGTGAAGCGTGAGGAGCTCTTCATCGTCTCTAAGCTCTGGCAAACCTACCACGACAAGGAGAACGTCGAGCCCATCACCCGCAAACAGCTCGCCGACTGGCAGATCGACTACTTTGACCTCTTCCTCATCCACTTCCCCGTCGCCCTCGAGTACGTCGACCCCAAGGTCCGCTACCCCCCTGGCTGGCACTACGACGACGCCGGCACCGAGATCCGATGGAGCAAGGCCACCAACGAGGAGACCTGGGGCGCCATGGAGGACCTCGTTGAGAAGGGTCTCGCCAAGTCCATTGGTATCTCCAACTTCCAGGCTCAGTCCATCTACGATCTCCTCAAGTACGCCAAGATCCGACCTGCCACCCTCCAGGTCGAGCTTCACCCCTACCACCAGCAGACCGAGCTTGTCCGCCTCGCCAAGGCTGAGGGCATTGCTCTGACTGCCTACTCTTCTTTCGGCCCTGCTGGCTTCATGGAGCTCGACATGGACATTGCCAAGTCTGCTTCTCCTCTCATGCAGCACGAGGTCTTCACTGGCCTCGCCAGCAAGTACAACAAGACCGCCGCCCAGGTTCTCCTCCGATGGGCCACACAGCAAGGTCTTGCTGTCATCCCCAAGAGCACCACACCCGAGTACATGGCCCAGAACTTCGGCTGTGTCGGCTGGGACATTGATGAGGAGGACATGAAGCGCATTGCCAGAATGAACCTAAACCTCAAGTTCAACAAGCCCACCAACGTAAGTTTTCACTACCAATTGGCTGCCAAAGACAATACTAACGTGTTCTAGTACTTCCCTACTGAGAAGCTCTGGATCTTCGCTTAAATAATGACAATGAAATGATATGATAAGTAAAAGAAAGAAGCATTGGGAACATGTTTGTTTGGGATATTTGGCGTTTGATGACGATGGGCTGCATTTTGTAGAACCGCAAGGACTTGATGAGACGCTCTCATAGAATACAAAAGACAGTTAACCCTTCAACAAATTTGGTCATTTTCTGCGTGATATGATTATCGTTTTGGGAAATGATTGCTCCATGATATGACCAAGACTGAGCAGTGCGTGACTGGCTGTGGCCTCGGTAACTCTGTCTTTGTTCTAGAACCTTGTCTAAACTGTAACTCAGATAAAGCTTTATCTGTCTTTGAATGAACCGTTTATTGAGTGCACCATTGATGCCACCCTGAATATCGAAAAAGCCAAACTCCATTTCCTCAACGCCATGCTTTCTGTGACGAAGCCCTCAAAATTCGAACTCATGTTCGAACAAATGCTAGAAAAAGTGGTTAGCAGTGATCCATAGAATTGTATAATTCAGTGTCAACTTACTAGCATCAATCTGTTTGACCTGCGGCAACGTCATTCGGATCCTGTTCCTATATGCCACAGGTTCCTGCAGTTGCAGCGGGTTTCCTTCAAAATACACCGTCGTCAATTCTTTCTTATCGGCAAGGTATTTCGCAACCTCCTTATAATCGTTGATGAGATTATAGCTGGCCCACAACTCTTCCAGCTCAGCGAGTGACTCAAGACCCTTGATGCTGGTGATCTTGTTGTTTGAGATATCCAGCACATGTAGCTTGGGGTTATGCTCCAGTCCCTCTAGAGATTCCAGCATGTTGTGAGAGATATATAGCTCCTCTAGCGTGGGGACGTCCTTGAGTGGTGACAAATCGCTTATACGGTTGGACTGAATGCTCAGTAGTCGAAGATTGGGCAAACCACCTAGACCAGTGAGCTCAGTAATCTTGTTTTTGGCCAACCAAAGCTCTTCAATCGCCTTTAGAGAATCGAGGTTCTTGATTTCGCGAATGCGGTTCGATCCCAGCTCAAGAGATGTCAACTTGTCCAGCCCCTCCAGCCCCTCGATTTTACCAATCTTGTTGGCGACAAGGTACAATTCCTTGAGTTTTGTCAAATGGTTGATGTGCTTGATATGCTTGATTTTGTTGAAGCTTAGATCAAGGCTTGTAAGGTTTGTTAACTCGTCGAGGCCGCGAATGTGCGAAATGAGGTTGTCGTAGAGGTCAAGGTCTTCGAGGGTCTCGGCTAAGGCGGGCAGGCCGTCGATTTGCTCGATGCTGTTTTGGCGGAGGCAAATACGGGAA